ATGTAAAGTTTCTTTCTTATACTAGAGGGTTTCCTAAGGTGTTTAGGACTCTTAGTATGAGTTTGATTCGTGGCTTTAGGCTGCCTACCTCGGATATAAATAGAGGGGGAGCGTGAGGCTTCCTGGTATCGCTTTTGAGAGCAATTGAGTTGAGTTTTGAGTTAGGGTTTCGAGTTTAGTCGAAATTTTTGTAAGGAGTGCTGTTGGTGCACTTTGTAAACACAGAGTTAATCAATAAAGTCGTCATCCACTTTAAGAGTTCTTCGATTTGAGTTCACCGGGTTTCAGCGGTCTAACCGGCAATATACCAGCGGTCAGACCGGTGGCATACGGGCGGTCCGACCGGCGGCGGCGATAGGCGTGGCAGGCATCTCGGCGGTTCGACCGATCGATCTATATCGGTCAGACCGACAGCATCCACTTGGTCAGACCGGCAGATCAATCTCGGTCAGACCGACTTCCGTCGAATTTGAGGGTAACTTTTATTTCCGCTAAAAGTTTTTGGTTTTTGGGTATACCAACCATTCACCCCCCTCTGATTGGCTTAGTTCTTGTGTTTCCATCCTACAGTTAAAAAAATATGACGTTTGACTTTCTTTATTAACTTTTAAAACATTTACTATCAAAACTAGTCAAAGCATTAACCAATTTCCATTGCGTTACGCGCAGACAGTTGAGCTTTCAAAACTAGTCAAAACATTTGGTGAGTGACCCAATTTTCCCATTTTGATTTCTTTGGATTATGCCAAATTCTTTTTTCCAAGATGAACAAAATTTTCATTAGTGTCATGACCGGAAGAAGAAATAAGGCTGCTCATTTGATTTGATAATGGATAAAATCCAACATTTGCATAAAAAGATACTATAGTCATTTCTTATATCGGTTTTTTTAGGAAAATCCAAAGATATGAGAAGACAAATTTAACCAACCAGATACATCTTATTCAGATGCTGACGTGCCTGTAAAAATGCTCATTCACATTCAGTCCAACCAATAAACCTGACAAATTTAATGAAGAATAACTTCACACTGAAAACACACACCCATCAAACTTCATACTAATAACAATTCATCCTCGTCTATAAAAGGATATGAAAGAAACATCAGACGATGAGGATGGAACAAGATAAATCGAGGAACTGTGCAAGCATCACAATATTTTTGTGTGCATATATAGTTGGAGCACATGCCAGAATTATCTTAAGAAAACTGGAGTGTCATGAGAATGAGAGGTATTCAGTAAACACATGAGAATCCAAAAATGTATTACTGTTCAAGTATGCTTGCAAGTTCAGGGTTATCTGACTATTCTCGTACTGATTCGGCAAACACTTGTCCAAGCCAGTTGTAAGTGTTCACAACTTTGTGTGACAAGTTGACAAGCACGATCGCAGCACCTAAACGCTTTACGGTGATATAGAGTTGCCAACCACCTCGATCTAGCCAAAAGGCCAAATCAAGATGGGTTTTGTAGAAAATTAGCTAAACCGCCTAGTGGAGCCGATTTAGAGATCAAATATGAAGATAACTACCTGTCTCGTGGGCAAAACGGAAGGTTTTCAGGACAAACCTACAAAGAGGTGTCGCACTCTCGCAGCGGTGGCAGACAGTTTACGGCGCAAACTGACAAAGATGGACTAAAACTAGGGTAAAATAGAAAATATAGTAAAAGAACGATTCAAGTAAATTGTATTCGGGGGATTACAATGAACCGGCCTTGTCCCTTAAATAAGGGTTGGTCTTGCCCTCTACAGACCCTTATCCATGTCTAACTCAGGATATAAACCAAAGTAAACACGAAACATAGCCTTCCCGAGCAAGGAAACCCGCGACCCGATGAAAACAGACTCGGACTCGACCCTGACGGTCAGACCGCCCACATACCTGAGGTCAGACCGGCCCTACTAGCCGGTCAGACCGCCCACGTACCTGCGGTCTGACCGGTCCTGTGAAGGAAACCTGACACTTTCAAAACTTTGGCAATTTTTCCCTATTTCGTTCATAGGTACTAAATTTGGGTGTAACCAGTAAGACCGATACCAAATTTAGTTATCTTGTAGTATTGATGCTAACTGAATTATTTTTATTACGTGTGCCATCATATCTTCATCCAACGGCAAGGGCGAAGGAAAAAGCCAGCAAAAACAAGCCTCGTAGGCCTCGGTTGATTATAAACCGTAACGGCGTATCAACGACAGACAAAATAAATTTTATGAATAGAACTTTTATATATGTGTTAATAACTTAAAAGTCCGTGTAAAAAAGAAGTACATTGAAAGTACCTTGAAATCAACTTCAAAATAAAATTCTAAATTAAAAATTTGGCAATGGCTGTCTTTTTTTTTGCAAACAACGATGGCCGTAAAAGACTGCTAATGGGTTTGTTGTATGTTTGGTTTGCTTGTTAACTTGGGTCCGGCTTGTTGTGCGCGTTTCGGCCTTTTGGGCCACCTGGCATTTGTATTTTGGTCTTATCTTGTGGACCACTTGTGATGACGTCTCAAAGGCATTTGTTTTGCTAAGGCGTGTAAGTTGGGTCGGATTTTGATCATTATTGTGGGCCGTTTTTTCTCTTTTGTACTAAAATGGATTGAAATTTATGGACATCTTGTATGGGCCATCTGCACTCATGTAATCTGCATTGTAATGAGACAAAACATAAGGGATAGCCATGGACGAGATCTGGGGACGGCAATTTTGACCATGAGTGTAGGTATCCGCGGGTGCCCGACCCGATGGGCACTGGTATGGGAGTAATATTTTGCTCACCTGAGAATGTAGCAGGCAACAACCGTGTATTTTTTATCCACCAGTAACCCATGCTTGACCTGGTACCTATGCATTAGCTAAATTTGGTCCATCTCTTAAATCTCATATCCCATCCTCTTGGCCTATTTGGCCCATTAACCAATGACATATATATACTCAACAGAGAAAATTTGAAAATATCAACTAATAGAAACCCTAACCTAATTCCCAACACCCCTCTCCTACCCCAATCCCCACACCGACGGCGGTGGTATGGGCGGGCAATGGAGACAGGTAGGGAGTGGCTACACATGATGTCGGCGTGGGTACGCAAGAACGGCGGTGGCTCGTGTAGGTGACGTAGGAAGCGACGATGCAGGATGGCATCGTTGGCCATCAGCAGTTGTGGCTTAGCACGACGTAGACGACAGCGGCTCAAGGTGACGACGGTGATGACAGTTCAGACAGGCAACGACAGGCAATAGTGACGGCGGCCAAGGACAATAGGCGGCGACGCAGACTACTCTTTGAGTGACGGTGCTAGGTCCTTACCCGGTATCCACTGGGCATGCGTGTGCCCGCTAGGTATGTGCATAGGCACGAAGTTTTGCCTACTAACCCAATTGCATATTACCGGGCCTTGGGTCGAGCATGGTTTTGCTCTGCCCATGCCCAACCCGGCCTGTGATCATCCCTAGGGAGATCCAATAAAATCACAATGCTAGCACACGTGTAACTTCTTGATAGTGATAGTATAGTTCAAATGACAAAGAGATCTGTACTCAATTTATAGTACTGATAATAAAAAACAGTAGTAGTCTTGAAGGTTGCACATATTTAAGTTGAAGTTGCATATATCCAATTTTAACTAAATTTAAAATTGCACTTAGTAGCGGCCTCCCTGCACGCTACCCACAGTGAAAAAAAAGGAAATTGGGGAGAGGAAGCAGCGGGTTAACTGAGCGCCATTAGCCTGTTGCCCAAATGTGCACGTCACATAGGTGGTGTTTGGATCAGGGACTTAACTTTAGTCTTTATATTTATATACTAATTTAAAGTATTAAATATAGACTACTTACAAAACTAATTACATAAATGAAAGCTAATTCATGAGACAAATTTTTAAAACCTAATTAATCCATAATTAGAAAATGTTTACTCTAGCATCACATAGGCTAATCATAGATTAATTAGGCTCAATAGATTCATCTCGCGAATTAGTTCAAGATTATGGATGGGTTTTATTAATAGTCTACTTTTAATATTTATAATTGGTGTCCAAAACTCCGATGTGATAGGGACTTAAAAGTTTTAGTCTCATCTAAACAGGGTCATAGCCTGATAATACGCACGTAACTTGCACAAGATCTACTGGGAAAAAAGAATCGACTGATCGGAAATGCTACTGGGCGAGGGCGATCGATCCCCCCCTCCTCCCCCTCCCTCCCTCCACCTGGTTTCCTTTTTTGGCACCGTATTACTTTCCTATTTTAGTAAATTTATGCACCTAAAGTTTTTACACCTCAAGTTTACACATCTAAAGTTTAGAGACCAAAAGTCTATAAGTCAAAAGTTTATATATCCGATTCAAATTTGAATTTGAATTCAAATATTTTTTATATATAGTATTTCTGTACATCTAAAGTTTATACACCTAAAGTTTATATACTCGATTCAAATTTGAATTTGAATTCAAATATTTTCTACATATAGTATTTCTATACATCTAAATTTTATACACCTAAAGTTTATAGATCCAAAGTTTATAAGTCAAAAGTTTATATACCCGATTCAAATTTAAATTTGAATTTGAATTTTTTATACATAAATTTTTCTAACTTTTTTTTTAATTCTTTTTGTGTACTGTAATAGGAAGAGAAGGGGAGGAGGAATGGGAGAGGGGGGGGGGGGCAGATCCGATCGCTGGGCGACGCCCAGTAGGCCCCCCTCGTCTGATAGCTTAAAATGTTTCGAAAATAGCAAAGCTGTTCATGTTATCGAAAATTTCCGTTTTTTAAAATTTAAATTGAGGACACGGGCACAAAAACGTCCCACGCAACCAATCAACCAATTTCCCGCGCGCTGTCACGCTCACACAGTTGAGCTCCCGCGCCGAGTCCCGCCACCCAACCGCGGCCCTCCCGCTGTTTCCCGCCAAATTTGGCACGCCGCCGCTGTTGCCTCTCCCTCTCCGTTTCTCTTCCATTTCCTCTCCATTTTTAGCTTCCCCCGATCGTCTCGTCTCCACCCATCCTTCCTCCCCCGCCGCGCCTTCGCCACCACCGCACATCATCGCTCGCTTCCCGGCGGAACGCGCCCCGTTCCGCCGCCGCCGCCGCAGGAGAAGACGACTACGACGACGACGAGCGGTGTTGTGTGAAGAGAAGGTGATCCTGACCGCCGCCGTACGCCGCCATTGCCGCCGGGGCCGCGGCACCGCCCCTGATGGGCAACGTCTGCATCGGCCCGCGCCGCAACTTCGCCAAGAACGGCCTCCTCGGCATCCTGCGGCCGCGCCACGCCGCGCCGTCCTCCCCGTCGCAGCCCACCACCACCTCCCGCTCCATCCCCGTCGTGCTCCCCTCCGCCCCCTCCTCCAAGCCGCCGCCGCCCACCCAGACCGCCCCGCCCGTACCCGTCGTCATCTCCGAGCCGCCGCCACCGCAGCCGCAGCCCGAACCGCAGCCCGCGGCGCCGTCGCAGCCGCCGCCACCGCAGGAGCAGCCCTCGCCGCCACCGCCCGCGTCGTCGAACACCACCCAGCAGCCTCCGCCGCCGCAGCAGCGGCAGCAGTCGCGCGCCAAGAAGCCGGCGCACATCAAGCGCATCTCCAGCGCCGGCCTGCAGGTGGAGTCGGTGCTCCGGCGAAAGACGGAGAATCTCAAGGACAAATACAGCCTGGGGCGCAAACTCGGTCAGGGCCAGTTCGGGACGACGTACCTGTGCGTCGACAAGGCGAACGGCGGCGAGTACGCGTGCAAGTCGATCGCCAAGCGGAAGCTACTCACCGACGAGGACGTGGAGGACGTCCGCCGCGAGATCCAGATCATGCACCACCTCGCCGGCCACCCCAACATCATCTCCATCCGCGGCGCCTACGAGGACGCCGTGGCGGTGCACGTCGTCATGGAGCTCTGCGCCGGCGGCGAGCTGTTCGACCGGATCGTGCGCAAGGGGCACTACACGGAGCGGCAGGCGGCCGGGCTCGCCCGCGTCATCGTCGCCGTCGTCGAGTCGTGCCACTCGCTCGGCGTCATGCACCGCGACCTCAAGCCCGAGAACTTCCTGTTCGTCGGCAACGAGGAGGACGCGCCGCTCAAGACCATCGACTTCGGCCTCTCCATGTTTTTCCGCCCAGGTAAACAAACAACCGGTCACGCACCATGGTCGTCGCCGCCATTGTCGCCGTCGTGAGGAGCTCGATCGATCTGCGTGGCTTTGCACTGCAGGCGAGGTGTTCACCGACGTGGTGGGGAGCCCGTACTACGTGGCGCCGGAGGTGCTGAAGAAGAGCTACGGGCAGGAGGCCGACGTGTGGAGCGCCGGCGTCATCATCTACATCCTCCTCTGCGGCGTGCCGCCGTTCTGGGCAGGTAGGTAGGCGACGCCGCCATTGACGAACAAATTTCGACCTCGAATGCTGAACAAATTTCTCGCCGCCGCCGGCGACATCGCCGTCGTCGTCTTCGCAGAGACGGAGCAGGGGATATTCGAGCAGGTGCTGCACGGGACGCTGGACTTCGAGTCGGACCCATGGCCGAACGTGTCGGATGGCGCCAAGGACCTCCTCCGCAAGGTGCTCGTCCGGGACCCCAAGAAGCGGCTCACCGCGCACGAAGTCCTATGTGAGCTCACCACTCTCTTGGCAATCCGCCATGGCTGCTTCCTGCAACACTGACACTGCTGTTCTTTTCTCGCAGGCCATCCATGGCTGCAGATGAGCGGGTCGGCGCCGGACAAGCCGCTGGACTCGGCGGTGCTGTCGCGGCTGAGGCAGTTCTCGGCCATGAACAAGCTCAAGAAGATGGCATTGAGAGTGAGCACCTGTCTTGCATTGTGGAAATTGAGATTTGTTCATGGTGATGGTGTGTGACATTGATTGGGCGATCGATTGCGCAGGTGATCGCGGAGAACTTGTCGGAGGAGGAGATCGCCGGGTTGAAGGAGATGTTCAAGATGATGGACACGGACAACAGCGGGCAGATCAACTACGAGGAGCTCAAGGCCGGGTTGGAGAGAGTGGGTGCCAACATGAAGGAGTCTGAAATTTATCAGCTCATGCAGGCTGTAAGTTTGTGCTCTAAACCCCTCTGCTAATCATATTCACTTGGAGATCTTGGTTGGTAAAGATGTTTTCTAAAACTATTATTTGCAAATTACTCCCTCCGTTTTTAAATATTTGACGTTGTTAACTTTTTTAAATATGTTTGATCGTTTGTCTTATTTGAAAACTTTAAGTAATTATTAATTTTTTTTCTATCATTTGATTCATTGTTAAATATATTTTTATGTATACATATAGTTTTACATATTTCACAAAAGTTTTTGAATAAGACGAACGGTCAAACATGTGCTAAAAAGTCAACGGTGTAAAATATTTAGAAACGGAGGGAGTAGTAATTAGTTACATTTAACTTCTAGATTGGAATGGCACAGAAGTTACATTTTAGACTCTAGTTCTTCAGATCTTCTTATTATTTTTCAGATCTTCAGATATAATGTGACATGAAGGAAGCACACTGACTTGATTGTTTTCTGTTGATAGTCAAAGGAGTTGCATAGAACATTGTCCCAGTCCATGTAGCTCGGCATAACAACGATTAAGAACAAGGGAAATCGAATTCTTTAACCAAATAGTTTAGTCACATGTTCTTTTGTTCTTCTTTGCCTGTTTACTTATTGACAAAGTGTTAACTGGTAAAGACTGAACTGAATTCATCAATGTGCAACTAATTGTGGCAAGTGCATAACAAAACGTTTATCATGTTCTTTATGTAGGCTGATATCGACAATAGTGGCACCATAGATTATGGAGAATTCATAGCTGCCACTCTACACCTCAACAAAGTTGAAAGGGAAGATCATCTATATGCCGCCTTCCAATACTTCGACAAAGATGGCAGTGGATACATCACATCTGATGAGCTCCAGCAAGCCTGCGATGAGTTTGGTATCGAGGATGTTCGACTCGAAGACATGATAGGCGAAGTAGATCAGGACAATGTAAGATCATCCAAGAACCAATCCTACAATTTTGCGCTGCTATTAGGGTTGGCAACTCTAACCATGAAAGATTATCTTCCATCAGTAAATCTGATGTGTTTTGTGCTATTCTTTTTCCTGCAGGATGGGCGTATAGATTACAACGAGTTTGTCGCGATGATGCAGAAAACAACAACAGGGTTCGGGAAGAAAGGCGGTCATAATTTTAGCGGTTTTAGGGATGCCTTGAAGTCACATAGCTGACAATGTTGTAGTGTTATATTGTATATTGGTATACCCCTTTCTATGGGAAATGTTGTTGTGCATACGTGTTGTAAATGTAAAGGAATAGGAGTTTTGTTAACTGAAGATTTCAAGCTTATTTTCTTGCCGGTTGGTGTCTTGCAAAAACATCCATCACCCCACGTTCAAGCAGATAAAAATGTTGTTTTCTGCCTGAACATTTGAAATGCTAACAATTCCCTTTGTCCTTTTGAGGCAACACAGAGATATACAGATAACATAACAAAAACAATTGCATAGCAGAGTTGAGGTGTATGAGTTAATATGCACAAGAAAGTAGCAATCAAATCATCAAGCAAACCACAAGCCAAAGAGAGCCTATCTTCCATGAAAGTTGCAACAAAGTTTCACTTTTTACAGATTTTGTGGGGGAAATTAACCACATTGGTTGTTGGACTAGGTCCACTGTTCCCTTCTTCAGGCATGGATGGTGAGCAGAAGCTCTACTATCGACCCCTAACCACATGGAAGCCTAGGCACAAGGCTGGTAAATATTGTTGAGGTAGAGGTGACTCTCACCTCTAATCTTATTCGTATCATCTCCGTACGCATTACCTTACCTTTTGAGATTACATATCATATAGGGATAAGTTTCTAGATATCTATAGTACTCTGACTTCACGTGTTGGCGACTTCCATACTCCCAATGCCTTCCATACTCAGTATAACTCTGTATCATCTGTCTGAGTATGAGACAGAAGTATTAATTCATCAATGGTAAGCTAACGAGAGTGTGTCTGTGTGTGTGCATTGTGTATTTGTGTGCAATTCTTCCCGGGAGAAGCAGTATAGGCTATATATAGTGAGGAAGGCAGCTGGGTGGGTGGCTGAATGCAGATCTTAAGAGAACTGGCTCACAACAAGAGTCCACACTTGGAGAAAAAATATATATACATATACTTACTGTAAATATGTACCCGCTATTAAGAAAACAAGGAAGATAGCCCACGCATTCGCGCGGGCATGAATCGTAGACTGTGTTCGTGTGTGTGAGAGAGAAAGAAGAATGCGCGCGACAGAGAGAGCGAGAGATAGAGAGAGAGAGAGAGAGGGGGGAGAGCGAGAGACTCTCGGTCTTATCCGCGCGATAGAGACCACCGGTCAGCTCGGCTCGACTCTTTAGTGTCGGTTTTTTAAAAACCGAGTGTCGGTTTTTAATTAACCGACACTCATAGTAAATTAAAGGTGTTAGTTTTTGTTAAAAAAAAGACACCTATATTATAGAAAACCGACACCTACAGTCTATTAAAGGTATAGTCTTTTTTTTATTTTCATCCCGCAGAGGTCGGAAATGATATATAGGTGCCGGTTTTATCACTTCCAGCACCTACAACACCGATCTCTATGTGTCTTTTTATAGTGTGATCAAATCATATATGTATGATTTAGTTACTATGTAAATAATCTAACAACATAAGCATATTAGAATACTTTTATGATTTAAATGCTATAGTTGCCTAAATGTTTTTGACGTAAATTTTGCTTTCTATTAGAAGAAGGAAAATAGGAGAGATAAATAGATAATAGAATGAAAAGAGAATTGGGAATAGGAGCGTACAGAGTACGTATGTATATGCATCCGCACGAATAGAGTGAGGGTCCAATTTAGAGTTAGATTAGGATGGGTGGATTACTTTTTTTTGCTACATCTATTGTAATGGTAAAAAAAAAGATGGGCCCACTAATTTAAATGATAATCAAGAGTTAGATGTTTCTTTACCACATGGCAGCTTAGAAGCGTTTGTAGAGTGCCATGTGGTGATATATGAGCGTTTGTAGAAAGTTTAATGAACTTTTAGTATATAACTAGGAAGGTGGCCCACGCGCATGCGTGGGCACTTATATTATTAAAAGATAAGATTATTGTTTGTTCAAAAATTTTGTCTCATAGATTAAGTGCAAACTAAAGTTCGGATAATGTTATTTTATAATAATTTAAGGGTTCTATTTTTCTTAAGGTATCTTAAAAACCATTCATAAACTTTTGAGTAAGAGAAGGATTAAGTACTTACGACTTTTGAATCATTTTTTTTCTCGAGTAAATAAGAAACTATTGCTAGTTAATTATCATATAGTCCATCTATATGCATACCGCGTAGTATAGCCACAAATAAAAATTGCGAGAGCAAGATACTCAAAATTCTTGTGATTAAATAGTCTCATAAAGGCGCATGATATAGTAAGAAAAAGAGAGAAGGGTATGCATGGAAAAAAAGAAGAAAGGGAAAAATGAAAAAAGGGAGAGGAAGCGTACGTACCCACGTACGTAGGTGCATACCTATGCCATGGGACGAGAGGTGGGATCTTGTAGTATTTAGTTTGTTCTAAGATCAATTTAATCTAACAGTTTATAATATTGGATGTCCCGATTTAAGTGAAAATTAAGCAGTGGATACTTTGCTGTTTTTTTTAGAATTTCTAATATTTGCTCTAATTTATTAGAGCACCACGTGGCAGCTTGAGAGCATTTTAATAAATTTTAAAGGACTTAACACATGTAATTAAAATATTAACCGCTTAATATATATGTATGGGGCACATGGTAATATTTGTTCCAGCTTCCTGCATGTTTATATGCATGTAGCTTAATATATATGTATGGGGCACATGGTAATATTTGTTCCAGCTTCCTGCATGTTTATATGCATGTAGAGAGAAATTAATTGTGTGGCTAGCAAGCCATTAGATGTCTAATTAATAGCAATTAATTTTGATACCTATTTACAGTTGTTTATAGTAGCTCTTACATATTCATCTTACGACTTTGATTATCCGTTGATTCCCAATTTACAGATTACCATCACTCGCATGAAAAAAAAATACGTACTATTTAAGGTTTAGGACAGCTGAAATTGATGAATTATCTGATTTATGTTGTAGCTATTTGAGGGTATAAACAAATAAATTGACTTCTAAAAAGTTAAAATGTGGTTTAAAAAAGGCACCATTTAGAAACTTGGAAAGCGTGCAAACAAAAATCCAACTATGTAATCTAGAAAAAAAGAGGGTCTTAAACTCCCTTATAACACCCTTGTTTTTGTAAGAGTTCTCTTGATATTCGTTAATATAGTGCTCAGATTTATAATATAATGATTTCTTTCACCTATATGAATAAATAGTACAAAATCCAAATACGACATAACACGATACATTATAATTATTCTGTAATCAACTCTCGATTTCAGCTTAAACAGAGCTAAATGTTAGAAAAAACACAACCCACAGTGTTTAATTCTTCTCTCGCTACATCATACCTTTAATTTTCTTTCCATGTTATTAACAAAATTAATCATCTCCATATATGATTTGATATGTGGCATAGCGGTAGTGCTGCGGCAGTCGTGATCACCTTAGATGCCTCAGACACGACGCTTTACACACGTGCAAAAGGCAAAGGTGCAGACGTGCATTGTGCAGCGGGCCAAAAAGATGATTTCGGATACTTTATTTATTAGCAAATAATATATCAAATGATTTAAATAATGGGTCTAGTGGTTCTAGTGTAAGTGCATATTAGTGAGTATAGATTTTAAATTGTTAATTTAATGGGTACACAGTATATAGTATATAATGTTGTAGACTTTATTTTGAAAGAATGCATTATTTGAGAATAATAGTCCAATGTAATAAAAATAGTTTCAATGATTTATATAGTGGGTCCATCAGTTTAAGTGTACGTATAAATCAGTTAATATAGATCTTAAATTGTTTATTTGATAGGTACGCAATATAGATGTGTAAACTTTATTTTAAAATAGTGCATTATTTGAAAATAATAGTATAAAATAATGAGTACATATGTTTAAGTGGAAATTATATTACATTATTAATTTAATGGTAACATATAATGGTGTAAATTTTATTTCAAAAATTGTAGAGCTAATTTAGTTACATGTGAGTTGTATGATGGTAAATTTGTTTGTTTGTAAAATTATGGTGATTTAAAAAATATCCATTATATAAATGGGAAAAAGAAGAAAAAAAGGAAAAAAAAAGAGGAAGGGAAGGAAGCGTACGTACATGTTACGTACGTATACCCACACATGCGCGGTAGGAGGAGGAGAGGTGGGACCCCACACTATTTGGTTTGTTTTATGATCAATTTCATCTAATGGTGTATAATATTGGACCCACCAATTTAAGTGAAAATCAAGGGGTGGATGTTTTGCTTTTTTTTCTTATAATTTCTAGGATTTTCTTTAATTTATTAGAGCGCCACGTGGCGGCTTGAGAGCGTTTGTAGGAAGTTTAATGGACTTTTAGTATATAAATAGCCCGCGCATATGCGTAGACACTTATTTAATGTTGCTTAACTTTTTTTATTATAAATGTTTACATTTAGATTATATTTTCAAAATAGATCTTCACTCTATTTTAAACATGTTTTAGTTAATATCTGGTTATGACATATTACATGAAACCATACAACCCTAAATTTATGACAATGACATGACTTTATGAGAACAACATGTGTCACGATAATAAAACAATAATGGAATAATGGAGTTTTTTTATTTCTATTTGTACTATATGTGATTTTCTTACCTGAATAAAGTGTTTTTTAAAATACTACCACGATAAAATCTCCAAAGGACCATATTGTTGGTTATATTTTGACAAATATATATAATTTTGCATATCTTATTTTTCAACGCCTTTCATAATCACATAAGATACCTTTACTAATTAATTTAGAGAATGAATCTATTTTCCCAAACTTATTTATAATAACTAATTGATTGAAGTATAATTCATAGTCACATCAATAGAGTGCATGACATACATTCATCAAATTATGTCTGATAAGTTGGAATTCCTCAACTATAAAAAAAAATATCATGAGTAGTTTATTGCGCATGTTAATTGATTGTTCATTTGTTATCAAAACTATTTGACAAAGAGAAAAACATACATATATGACCATAAATCCTATGATGGACTAAATGGTTATATTATAGCAAGATCACTGGCTTGAAATATTTTTCATAATTATTTTTTACATTTATGTAACATTTATGTTGCCCACTTATCATATACTATTGAAATAGTTCTAAAAATTAAAAAAAAGATGAGAATCTTAATCTCAGACATATTAAAACTAAATCATATCTGCTTAAAAATACACAACTAAATTGTGTTGTTTTCAATTATTTTACATATAGAGCTTTAAGTTAGCATTATATAGTCATCAAGTGTTATTTGACACCTAGAATATGATGTAAAATTATTTGAAATAGGAAAAGTACAAGTTACCCCCTAACTATTACGGTCGACCGAATTACCCCATAAACCCGAAACCAGACATCTTTCACCCTCAATTATTAATAAAAGATGAATTACCCCCCCCAAAAAAAAAAACTCAACCTGGAGTAGTTTTAGTCCTACATGGTAGTCCAGTCTGCATTTAAAAAAAATAAAATAGGTGGGGCCATATGTGACACTCTGTACCCTCTCTACCCCTCTCCTCTCTCACCTCTCTCTCTCTGCTTCTCTTCCTGAATCCCATTCCCCAGCCTCTCTCTTCTCCCTCCCATTGCTACTGGACCGGCCGGGTAGGCACACTGTCACCCCGCCGCTCTTCTCCTCCTCCTTCGTCTATTCCCCTACGCTTGCTTGCTTGATTGATCCGCCTCGTTGTCTCATCGGGAGAGAGGCATTGGTGATGGGGATCGATTAAAAACCGTGGTGGGACGACATGCTATGGTAGACATAGCTGCGGCCATATTTGTTGGCCAAGTTCTAGATGGCAGGGGTGTAGCAGAACCTGGCCATTGAGGACCAGCGCAGGTTCTCGCCTCCGGTACCTGCAACTCTCATCATGCGACAACGATATGCAACGGAAATGATGGAGACGACGGCCTCGATTGGAATGCGCATGTGGCTGCCGAGTCAGCTGAGGAGGAGCGGCCTCCGCCGCTTGCCGCCCCTAGCCTTGCCGATTGATATGTGGAGGGAGAAGAAAGAGAGAGATGATGAAGGGGTTAGGAAGAGATATGATATATGGGTCCTACCATTTTTTAAGAAAATGCTAACTAAATTGACACGTAGGACGAAAAACCACTCCGCATTGGGGGGGGACGTAATTCATCCGGTATTAATAGTTGAGGGTGAAAGATGTCCGGTTTTCGGGTTTATAGGGGTAATTCGGTCGACCGTAATAGTTTAAGAGGTAATTCATTATTTTTCTGATTATTATTATAACATTATTTATTATATGTTGACCTCATATATAATGATGTATTTATGAACATAGACATCAATATTTTATTTAATTAGAGGATCCGACTGGATCACAAATTAGATATATGATTTTAAAATAATTTATAGATAGGATGTTTAAAGAGTATTCATAGGATATTTTATTTTTATATTGTAAACGATCTAGTTTAGCTATGTATATTTGCATAACTTTATAGAGTAATATATTTTATTTTAAAATAGTGTAATATCATATTTTATGGAGCATCGAGTTTTTCAGTGGCACTACGTACCTGCTTTACGTATGTTTTTTTTACTTATTAATCGCTTTTATCGTAAGTCGGTACATGTTTTCTTTTCTTCCATTGAAGAGGAGATAAGATTCATTGTTTCTTCTCCGTATGTACGTACGTACGTACAAAGATAACTTACGTTTTGTTTCTTTGTCCGGCCCACAGTATAGATGCGAAAGTATTCTTTTTTTTTAAAAAAAAATAACACATCTAATCTAATAGTCTAAAGTATTGGGTCCACCAATTTAAATGAAAATCGACGGTGAGATTTAACAGTGCCATGTGGCGGTCTAGGAGTATTTATAGGAACGTCACGTGGCGGTTTGAGAGCGTTTCTAGGAAGTTTAATGGACTTTTAGTATATAATATAATATAATATAATATAATAGATAGATAGAAGATAGATAGATAGATGATATATGATGTATGCGGTGCATCGTTGAATGGATAGATAGGTTCAGATATAATCTGTTGTAACAGAATAGATATTATCTATCCAACAACCTGCACTATCTTGTAAACCACAGTGATGGTTATTATCACCAATATATGAACAAAGGTGCGGCCCAAGAGGGTTCAACACTTCTGCACCTCTGGTGCTTCATATGGTATCAGAGCCCCACTAAAATCGCATCTGCTCGAACTCATGGGGAGTTCATCCAAGGCGACGGCCAGCAATCCGCTCGGTGGAAGCACGATCTTGGAGAAACTCTCCAAGACCAATCACGCGGTAAGGAAAGCGTAGATTCTGGGATTGGTGCGAGGAGCCCATCTTGAAGGGCACCTCACCGGCACGACGGCAGCTCCGACTGCTATAATCACGAAGCAAGGTGACAACGAGCTAATTAAGGACAGAGGTCCGGGGACCCAAATCCAGTCTATGAAGAATGGGTGGCAACTGGTAAGCAAATCCTGGCACAGGTAGCCACATGCAGCACCTCTGCAGAGCAAGGTTCACTTTCTCGGTTTGGGACTTTTGATAGGGGGTCACCGAAATCCCGAAATTTCGGAAATTTTGGTCCCAAATTTTGAGCAAAATTTAGTTGAATTTGAACAAATATTATCCAAATTCATGAAAAAATTGAAAAATTGAAAAATTTCGGACGAACTAATATCGTATTGGAGTGGACTGAAATGATCGAAATTTCGGAAATTTTGGTCCGAAATTTCCAACCCTGCTGCAGAGGCGTGCAGGATGCTTGAGGAGATGTACTCCTCGGTGATAATAGCGTGCTTCATCAACACTAGAATCGCTCTCTTCAACACCAAGAAGGGCGATCTAGATCTATCCGTCGCTGACTATCGCAAAGATGAGGGTGCTTAGTGATGAGATGACCGCCGCTGTCAAGAAGGTTGTCGACGATGAAGATCTCATCTCCTATTTCATTGCTAGCTCGACGACAACTTTGAGCCGGTCATCTCATCCATTGTCAGTAAAACCGAACCGATGATTAATTTCTGGGAGAGGCATACTCCTAGTGGCTTGGCTTTGAGCAGTGCCTGGCCCGTCGACAAACCACCGAAGCGACAGTCAATATGGCCAATCGAGGACGTGGCGGCTAACAGAGCAGGCACAATGGCAACCATGACCACGGGAACAATGGAGGCTACAACGGTGCAAACCGCGACCGAGATCATGGAAACGGTGCCACCGGCGGGTGCCAAGGAGGAGTTGATACTAGACGCAAGTGCTAACTCTGCTATAAAAGAGGACATATATACCAATCTTGGAATTTACTTTTCACTAATACAGATATGTGGAACTAGTACTTGAAGTATATATCTACCTATTTTTGTAATTGCCATGTTGGCTGTCTTTGTTGTTTCATTGGGTTGGATTGAGATGTTGTTAGTTGACTCTTTTTGTCTTCGCCATGGCTATGATTTTTTTCTGGGTCCGCCAGTGCTACAGGAGGTGATGTGTCGATTGTGTAAGGTGAAAGAGCCACAAAATTTTATTTGGTCATTTCAGATTTGCTAAAGTTCTACTAGTAGTTATTTCTTTCCGTTTGTTTTAAACTCCAACTTTAAACTTCAACTTTCTCTTTTTCCATTAGCACACTTTCCAAACTTCTAGATATTGTATTTTTGATAAAAAGAATATATAAAAGTTTCTTTAAAAATCAAATGAACCTATTTTTCAAATTTATAATAATTAATTATTAATTAATCATGTGTTAATTGCTTGCTCTGGTTTCTGTGCCAATTAAAATCTCAGTTCACGAACGAAGCCGCTAGCAGGAATCGATATTGTGACTCTTAACAACCTCAAAAGACATCCCTTTCAAATATACTTTCTCCATCTAAAAAACTTAATCTACAAGGGTTAACCCTCTCTTAATACAACGAATTTAGATAAATGGTTATCTAGATTTGTTATGTTAGGAGGGATCACATCCTCGTCTAAGTTGAGTTTTTTTATTTGACGAAAGGAGTATTTTGTTTAATCTTCAGCAAGTCAGTCCACACACGCAAGATTAAATTTTCAATAGTACACAACCTCACTCCTCTCCCTTTCCGGGTGGGGATGGATGATTCTTTAGTTTCCTAGTTGTCATTTTCATAACTACAAATCGCTGCAATCCACGAGCTTAACTTTTGGTCTCATGCATGCATGTGTGGTAGGCCAAGAGGCGACCTATGTCGCCAAGTTTGACTCCGTATATCTGACAATGTTTGTCTGATACCACATGGGTGATGGGTGTGCATTGGTACAATGGACACGCAAATCTAAAGTCATGTCATTTTAGTCATATGAATCAATTAGAAAAAAAAGAATCAATTGAAAAGACGACTGATTTCGCGCCTTATAATTGTTCATGGTATAGCTGGACATGACCCGGTCGTAGACTCGGTAGTACTCCCCAAGTGATATTAATTTATATGGCTCTCCCATGCTTGATCCCAGCATAAATTGCGCCCAAAAATCCAAGATCGCCACTTCCTTTCTACACTTGCTTCACCATAGAAGGTTAGTTGATCCTAGTTCAGCTCCTGCTTACCTTTTCTCTCTCTCTCTCTCTCTCTCGCTAGTGACGCTTACTAATTTTATGCGGCAAACATTCCCTACATCTGAGAAAGCTTTTCTCAGATTTTATACGACACACAACTTCTCTTCTGCAAATTAGAAAATGCCAAGCAATATTTAATATTTTCTTTAATTTTCTTCACTTTGTGAATGCCACCTATTTTTGTTTTGTATTCATCTCGGCTGTTATACCATGTGATAATTTGGCTCCCATGTCGTCTATCATTAATTTGAGTTTTTCTGCGTTTGTTCGTGTGTTCTTGCATGTCGTTCAGTTAATGATCGAGCAACCCTCTAGCCTCCAGGCTTGTTCCTTTTGTAATGAACATAGGCTGTGTTTAATTCGTGTGCCAAATTTTTTTTAAGTATACGGACACATATTTGAAGTATTAAACGTACATTAATAACAAAATAAATTACAGATTCCGCCCATAAACTGCGAGATAAATTTTTTAAGCCTAATTAATCCGTTATTAGCAAATGTTTACTGTTGCATCATATTGTCAAATCATGGCGTAATTAGGCTCAAAAGATTCATCTCGCGATTTACATGCAAACTGTGCAATTGGTTTTTTTCGTCCACATTTAGTGCTCCATATATATGTCCAAACATTTGATATGACGGAAATGTTGAAAGTTTAAAGAAAAAATTTTGAATCTAAACACAGCCATAAACACAGCCATAGAAGTGTTCCTGATTTGTTATTGTACGTGATCCAAGAAGGGGAACTTATATATTCACATGTTTCTCAGTCAAAGTAGTTGGGTTAGGTATCAGGAAAGTGTGGTTGTCTAATCTGATGAAGTTATTGAATCAGCTCATAGCTTTACTGCTAAGATGTGTGTGTTATGCAGTATTACATGTACCATCCTTTTGAATCATATTAGAGAACTTCCATATTTCCATAAGATGAATATGCAGTGGGTTTCGCGATATACTTAAAGATGGCAGAATTGGATTCTTTATTTTTATGAAAGAGTAAAATACACGGCCGGTCCTTAAAGTTGAGCGCGGGTGTCACTTAGGTCCACAATCTTGTAAATTGCACATCTAGATCAACCATCTTGTTTAAGTGACTCATTGAAGTCCAAAGGACCTTTGACCGGGTTGACTGGCTTACGTGGCGATCCAGCGTGACAACATATTTGCATTTTGCCCCCCATTTTGCTTCCCCTCTTCCTAAATCTCTCTCTCACGCGTCGGTGGCGAGCGGCGAACGGCGACGTGGAGGGGCGGGCATCGGACGGCGGCGCACGGGGACGGCCCCGCTGCCCTCCCACGTGGCGTCGCTGACTCTGCCCTTCCGCTCCGAGGCTACGAGACTCCATCGCTGCCACCGCGCCTAGCTCGTCGCTGTCGTCTTCAACCTGGGGGTGCGGAGGATGGCGTTGATGGCGGGCGGCAAGAGAGGAGGCGTCGGTGTCGGGTGGGAGAGGAGGCGTCGGTGGCGAGCGGCGAGAGAGGAGGCGTCGGTGGGGGCGGGAGAGGAGGCGTCGGTGGTGAGCAGTGAGAGAGGAGGCGTCGGTGGCAGGGAGATCCGGTGGCCGACGTCGGCCCCAGTGACGTGCGCTGGGTGCTGCGCCTCTCCGCCACGCCCGCCTCGCCGATGCTTCCGCTTCTCCGCCATTGCCGCACCGTGTGGGCCGACTGCTGGCCCGCCCCCGCGCGCGGCTACATGCCTTTGCCTCCGCCTCCGCTGCCGACTACACAAGCGCGCCACCGGCGCCCGAGCGAGCCCCGCCTCTCCCACTGGCCGCTCGCGCTACCTCCTTCTCTGCTCCGCCGACGGCCGCCCGAGCAACCTCCGCCTCCGCTGCCGCTACTAGCGCCCGAGCGTCGTCCTCGTCGTCGTCCTCCACTCCTCCGTCGCCATTCTCAATGCCGTCGTGCTGGTGAGCTAGTGAGGGGCGGCGTGGCAGCAGGATCCCGACGCTGCCGCGATGTTATGGATCCCGGCGTTGCCGTGATGCCTGCCCCCGTGCTCTCGCCCACCGCTGCTCTACCAGCCGCAGCCACTCGCGCGTGTGTGTCGTGCTAGTGTGTTGCTTGCTACTGGCGCTCGCGGCACCGTCGGTAGCGGCGGTGGCGCGGCATGACTACAACGAAGGATTTGGGGATTTTTGTGCTGTCCATGGCACTACTGTTGCGGAGGGGCTTGTTTGTAAAATTGGTGCTTGTGTGGCGTGCCACGTCGGCAGTCAGAGCCGGTAAAGTGGGGTTTGGACCTCAATAAGTCACTTAAACAAGATGGTGGACATATATGTGCAATTTACAATATTATAAACCTAAGTGACACCCGCGCTCAACTTTAAGTATCGGCTATGTATTTTACTCTTTATGAAACAATAGATCAATTCCTACTGAGTATATATTAATACGTTTAAACAAATAAGAACAGAGTTCAGTGAAATCCTACTAGTTTTATATTATTAATAAGTTGAAATAAAAACAGAGTTCGGAGGAGTCAAGGAACTGAAAAGCAGAAAAGAAAAAAAAAACAAAAATTGATGCTACAAGGATTCTAGCTGTTCTATAATCCAAGATGAATGTCCCACCATGGATAACCATGGCGAATTCATTCTTGCACTGATTTCTGCATTATGCTCCATGAATAGTATAATTATCTCCATACAGAATTGGACAGGAAGGGAGTAGTATTTTACTATTTCTAAATGATGCAATGACAAATATTTCCAGGTTGTTCAAATATTTTTGTTGCATCAGTAATACTTATGTAACATCATAAATTTAAAAATTGTTAACAGAGCTGTTCGGAAATAAGTGCTCAAGGCAGTGATCTTTTTGTCATTTGTGACCTTAGAGATTGGGTTGATTTTGATACATCTTCCTGGTAGGCCACAATTTTGTCACTACAAATTATAATCATTTTTTATATTTATAGTCTTATAAAAGAAGCATTTTGATTTTGCTCTCAAATGGTAGAGGCAGGTAATAAATGGCAACGCAAGGTAAACAGTGCAACACTCTAGAAGATTTGCTATTCGATGACATAGGAGACCCATTGCCTATTAAGCTATCAGTACTGCAAAGCATCACAAATGACTTCTCGGAAGAGCAGATTATTGGAAGTGGTGGCTTCGGAATAGTTTATAAGGTATGTCTGACTAATTCTTGATTTTATCAGTTATAGGAGCATTTCAAAACCTACCATCTTGCTAATTTCGAACAGGAAGTCCATGTTACCTTACCAACTGAATATATAAATGTCCAACTGGAACCGTACAACTGAACCAGTATACCATATTTTTATACTGATTGGAGGGTCCTCCAAAGTCACATGATAATTCATGAGAACACGGGCTGAAAAATTTCAGGAAAAACAGAAATTGACTTAGAAATTATTACGATTGTCTATGATGGATTAACATGGCTCGTCATAGATGAGTCATCTTTGGTGGGCCAAAAAGTATCTCGTTTAAGATATGGCTACCGGGGAGGACCCGTCACACATGTCAGGTCATCTGTGACGGGCCATAATTGTAACCCGTCACAAAATGATCTATGTCATCTATGACATCATAGATAATGTTATGAACCATCATAGATGAGATCACTCATTTTTTAAAAAATTCACGGATAAAAAATTCACTAATGAGTAAAAGTTCCAAATTTCGAATTTTCTAAAAAACCTCGGTTGGAGAAATGCCCTATATAAAAGTTGTAGATCTCAATATAACTTTATAACTGACAATATTTTCATTAGAGATCGTATACATCCCCAAATATGCATTAAAGTGATGAGATCTATTTTTAAAAATGAAAAATTGACTTTTTCAAATGACCTCGGATGAAAACATGGTATGGATCAAAGTCGTCGTAGAGCTCAACCAGATCTACAACATTATAATTGACAATAGTTTTATTTGGGATAGTTTACATGCCCTAAGGTGAGATCTATTTTGAAAAACAAAATTTTAAATTCTTCAAATGATCTCAGACGAAGATATTCCATATATAATATTAAACACGATGAGATCTAAAACATTTTAGTTGATGATGTTTTCATTTGAAATCATTTAGAGTGTTAAATATATGTTACATGCTTTGGAGAGGAATAACTAAAACAATAATATTGAAAGAGAAATCAAATCAACATGTGCTCTATAGTTGATGAGTTTGTAAGGGTGCTCTTTTTAGAGAGGGAGGTCTTGAGTACTAAACACAACAAATGCAAGCATATCTACGTTTCTAAAAAAATGTGGAATTGTGGGTAGTGACATGTCATCATGTATAGAATGGATAGCTAGTGAAATTCAAATTTTTTTAATTTTTTTTGAATGCGCATTTAAAGTTCAAAATCATGACTCGTGATTTAACATCAATGATGGTTCGTAAGTTACTACCCATCAGAGATGAGTCATCAGTGACGGGTGAGAAGTTGTGACACGTCAGAGATGACTCAACACTGATGGGTTGAAAGTTACTACTCGTCAGAGATGACTCACCTGTGATGGGTGTTCACCCATCAAAGATGGTATTTTGTCATCACTGGTCACTTTAACTCTGACGAACACCGAACCCGTTAGAGATGACGAGTTGATGAGACCGTCATGTTTGACCTGGTATGGTGTAGCAATTAACATATAGAGTTGAAAATTCACAGGGAGTGCTTGGAGATGAGCTTGTTGCGGTGAAGAAGCTTTACTCATTTCATGCAATTAAAGACGAACCATTTCAACGCGAGGTTGATTGTCTCATGAGGATTAGGCACTGCAATATAGTATGGTTTGTTGGGTACTGTGCTGAAACATCTACAAATGTGGTACGAAAAGGAAGGGAAAATATGTTTGTGGATTCGAAAGAAAAGTTGCTTTGCTTCGAGTATCTACGTAATGGAAGCCTTCGCAGTCATCTTGATACTGGTATAACTATATGTGATCCATTTGCTCCATTTATGATGTTCATTCTGAGTAAAAATATTTACATTGTGGAAAAAGTAATAGAAAACCACTAGTGTATCGGTAAATACAACATAGTAATAAGAGGTTTGTTGACCTAAAATTGTGCAAATATAATTAACTCCAAATTTGAGTTGCGGGCAAAATTATGGTATCTACATGGCCAGCCACCACTATATATTGTAATGGTCATATATTCGAAGTGCATGGCAATGGTGTGCCAAAATAAAAGGCATTATGAATAATTTTGCAATTTATACTACAAGGCTATGATGTACTATTTATTTGTCGTACAGCCGGATCTTGTGTGCTTCAATGGCAGATTTGTTACCAAATAATCAAAGGTATTTGCCTGGGTTTGCACTATCTGCATGAGAGGAAGATAATTCATCTAGATCTCAAACCAGATAACGTACTGCTCGATGACAGTATGGTGCCTAAAATTGCGGATTTTGGTTTGTCAAGGCTCTTGAGTGAAGAAAAAAGCCGCATGGTCACTGAGAGAATTTTTGGAACAAGGTTAGTCAAGTATGTGTGTGTGTATATATATATATGTGTGTTTATATACATATGTATACATGTATATGTATACACGTATATATATACATACGTATATACGTATACATGTATACATATGTATATATATACACATATATATATAGAGAGAGTAAAATTAACTCAGGCTCCATGGTGCACGGTGCACGGGCTCTAAAATTCAAATTGAATATATACCTAATTTAAATGAGTTTGAATTTTTTTTATATGTTTAGGTATGAATATTAACTTCCTTACTAACAAGTTCAAACAAGTTTGAACTGAGTTTGAACAATTTTTGTTAGATTTTAGTTCTAGGTATATAACATCCAAACATATTATTAGTTAGGTATGTAATAATGAATTGTGAATATAAAGTTGAGTTTGAGTTGTTTTCGTTGATAGGTATAGGTATGAATCAAATTCTTATATCTAGGTATATACTCACAATTTGAAAATTTTAAAAAATTTAAGAGAATTTGTGTGTTTCATATACCTTGGAGTCCGGGCACTATGTAGTCCCATATATATATATATATATATATATATATATATATATATATATATAGAGAGAGAGAGAGAGAGAGAGAGAGAGAGAGAGAGTTTCATATATCTTTGCAAATGAGTTTTCCCGTGGATCCGCTTTCCTTGGACCTGAGATTACAGGTGTCCATTGATGCAGGAGATACATGGCACCCGAATACTTAGTTAATGGAGATATCACAGTCAAGTCAGATATATACAGCTTGGGTTTGATAATCAGAGAGATGGTGATGGGTCCTAATAATGAAGGAACAACGACAGAAAATGTATATTCAAGAAGAAATAATTAATAATCAGTACTACATTTTAGATTGTTTGAGTTAATACTACTACGTGTGTAACTTTTTGCTAATGAAATTGAATTGCTTGTCAGGTACTAGAAATCTGGAGGCATAGGTTGGAACAGGATTCATCAAAGATGAGGCAGACGCCAATCGAAATGCGTTACCGGCAAATAATAGAAGCGTGCATTGAGATATCAGAGACATGCATAGCGGGTAAACCAGATAAGAGGCCAACCACAGGGGATATCCTTCGTCGGCTTGAGAAAGAGGAAGCAGGGAATTGGTCTATCGTCCCAGTTACTCCAGTTGTAGATTGGGTATAAATAAATCATCTCTTACTATAAAATTATTTTATAGATCACTAATTCCTAAAATTTAACATGCAAACATATCATATCATCATCAACTAATAATTATAATAATTATAGTCGATATACCGAGTTTTCATTGCAAACCCCCAAGATATTATTACTACATACTAAGGATAACAACATTTAAACATCATGCAACATGCATGCTATATTATTATAATTTATTAATCTAATAGTTTTAGAGATTTAAAATGTAAACTTGTCAAATCATCTTACATAATTCGCATAATGTTTCAGTATTTCTCTCCATTATTTTTCTATAATATCCTATATACCTATATAGTTCATCCTTATTTAGTTTATGATATTTTTCTTTTCTCATTAAGTCATAGCACATCAATTATTTTTAGTCCTTAGATGATTAATTTATGGTTCAAATTATCTCTTTTCTTTTCTTCTCTCATTGAGTTATATTATCTCAATTTTTTTAGCACTTAGATGTATGGTCTAAATTATCTTCTTTTGTTTCCTCATAAAGTAACATCATCTTACTTTTATATTTGGATCATCATTCTATATACTATTTAAATTTAATTCACATTAACTTACGTAAACTTATGTTTATTTAAGATTATGTTGTTTAAACTATCTCACACTTTTTTTTTTACTCATTTTTATCATAGTAAATTTCGCAACAGCGTAAGGGATTTCATCTAGTATGCATATATACTATCATGTCGCTTGAACAGTACATCTTTCATTCAAAGATTCACCAAGTACATCCAAAAAGCTTTAGATGATGACGAGTATACTGAAAAGTAATTACCGTGAGCCCGAATGTTTGGCTGAATATAAGTACTCCCTCTGTACCAAAATAAACGTAACCATTAGTTTCCACATATAACTTTAATCGTTCGTCTTATTTATTTTTTTTAAAAAAATAAAAAGCATAAGTCAAGTATAAAATACTATTCATGTTTTATAATCTAATAACAATAAAAATACTAATCATAAATTTTTTTAAATAAGACGGATGATAAAAGTTGGACACGGAAACTCATGGCTACGCTTAGGGCTGTTTGGATGGGGGACTAATCTTTAGTACCTGTCACATCAGATGTTTGGACACTGATTAAACATAGACTAATGACAAAACTCATTTCATAACTCTGGAATAATTCGCGAGAGGAATTTGTTGAGTCTAATTAATGTAATTCACTGGGAGTACCAAGCATAGACACAGGCAAATAAGGGAAAGGGATGTCTTAACTGAAAACAGAGAAAGACAAAAAAACTAACAACAGGCTCTTTCATTGCCGATCATTTACTTCGAATGGTTCTGTGATTAGATTTTATTTTGCTTCCGTGGCAGATAAGCTCGCTATCCAGGTTGATGGAGAGCATAAAGCGAATGGCTGTAACTTCACCCGAACCGCGAACAATTCGAGGTGAGGAGTCCAAAGCGTTGCAATTGCAACCTGGGCCTTCTCAGCCAGGGGACAGGAGACCAGCTGATAAGGTAAATGAAGAAACAAAAGCCCAAATAAATATTAATAAATTGATTTATTAACATTTATATAAATATAGACAATACTAGAAATTATTATATTGTAAAACGGAGGGAGTAGTACTGACAGACATTTACAGAATCTACTGTGGATTATACTTGGTACCGAACAATCCAAATTTTTATATTGGTTGACGAACGCATGTAGAGTTTTTGGTTGGATGCTACAAGCAACGCCAAGTGCTACATGCTATCATCGAGATTATTAAAGGTTACATGGGGAGAAAGCCCCGAGCACTGGAAATGGATCACCCTCCCCGATTCTAGGTAAGGTTTCCATACTGAGCAAACTTTCAAATCTCTACATTTCATACTATAAGTCTTTGACTATTTTCTTACTGAAAGTACTTTAAATTTGCCCTATGTTTATAGTAAAATATAATAATACCTTTAATATAAAGCAAACATTGTATCAAAATATATTTGATGCTAAATTTAACGGAACTAATTTGGTATCATAAATGTTGCTAATTTTTTCTATAACTTTGGTCAAAATTAAAGAAACTTTGAGTTAAAAAAAGTTAAATGACTTACAATATGAATTGAAACGGAAGGTTTATTTTCTCCGTTGGAACAAAGGTCTATTTTCCAAATCCATGAAACAGGCACATGTATATTAATTTGTTTTGTTTTCTCTGCTGGTAAAATACAAAGGCTTGTTAATTTCCAAATCCTGAAAACATGCACATATTAATTTTTTGTGTTTTATTTTTCCTCTGTTGGTACAAAGGTTTGCCGAATGCGCGGAGCTCCTAAACGTGTACTGGCTGGCGGTGATTGGGGAGATCGCAACGGAGGACCTGACGCCGGGTACTCGCTACGCGGTGTACCTGGTGTACAAGCTGACGGGCACCTCCGTCGGCCTGAGAGGTGGCCAGACGCAGAGGTCATCGCTCAGGCTCTACGGCGAGATCACCGTCTCCACCGGCAAGGTCAGCGTCGACGTCGTCCCTGCAGCGGCGCGCGGAATGGCCGCCGGCGTGGCCTATCCTGTGGCCAGGGGAGACGGCTGGATGGAGCTCAAGCTGGCCGAGTTTGCTGCCGACGAGAAGCTGCTCGGTGAGAAGAAGGTGATAGTGGACTTCCGCGAGGAGAACGACCATGTCAAGAAGAGTGGTCTTGTTATAGAGGGCATGGAGTTCAGGCCCAACAAGTGAAGCTCGCAAAAGGCTCAACATTTTGTTCCACAAGAACAATTTCTAGTATCCTAACTATTCTCAGCACATAAAATGACAAGTTTTATCTCTTTAATATACTTTATCTATCTATCACTGTTAGTATTTTAATAATGATGAGATATTTTGATCATTTTTACTCTCTACTAATTTCACCGTGAGATACCACTACAACAAAACAACCCAATCAATGGAGACATCTTATTTGTAGGTTAGAGACGAAACGTCTCCCATAGATAACTGGGACGCTTTATAACAAAACAACCCAATAGAGACATCTTATTTGTAGGATAGAGACGTTTTATTTCGTCTCCCACAGATAACTGGGACGCTTTTATAAAGCGTCGTAGGGACGCTTTTATAAAGCGTCGTAGGAACGTCTCCGTTTGCACTGTCGCGTACCTATATTATTTAAGACGTTGCTAGAGATGTCGCGTACCTATATTATTTAAGACGTTGCTAGAGACGTGTAAATTGCATCTCTACAAAATATCGAGATGCTTTTATAGAAGCATTAATATAGGCACGCACATCTTAATATATTTGATATTAACGCTTTCATCTGTGCTCGAACACAGCACCTGCAGGTTGCAAAGTTCATGCACTAACCAAGTCATTAACGTGAACAATCTTGAAGGTAAATAGATAGTTTTTCTTATATTGCAACTCTGCAAACATGCATACTGTAGCAGATACATTAAAAGGAGACCGGAGGGAGTATACTCTTCTTAAATAGATAGTTTTTCTTATATTGTAACTCTGCAAACATGCGTCCTGTAGCAGATACATCTCAGCAAAAACAAATAAAAATTAATAGGACCCGCTTGTTAGCGTTGGTTTTTCTCTCCACCTTCTCTGCTTCTCTATCCGTGAGAGGACAGAGTGCTGCCAGCGAGGGCCAGTCCAAACAAGGAGGGAAGGAAGGGGGCTGCACGAGCTCAGCTGTCCCACACATGGTGAGTGGGCGGCCGGCTGCCAATGGCTGGGAGGATATGGTGGGCGTAACGGGGAGGGCGCAGTGGGGGTTGGAGATGGCAGTGCACTAGCGAGGGGGTCGTCAGAGATAGCGGGGCAGCGGTGAGGTGGGCTCGAGGCAGCGGCTCATCAATCCCACGAATAGGAGGTCGAGCTTGCTTGGGAGACGTCTCTGCAAGCTCATGGAGGGCATCCACCATCTCCTCCGGATTGGCAGAGAGGCGAGGAGGAGGTGGGAGGTGGTGGAGAGGCTGCCGGGTGACCGACGCCGATAGCAGCACAATGGTGAGGCTTGGCGCTGGTGAAGCGAGTGCGGGAGCAGAGGAACCCGAGGAGGGTGCCCCTGGGGTCGGCGACAGCGGCTCCGTGGTGGTAGAGCTTGAAGCGCTCGCTGTTGACCACGAAGACCACCACCTCTGTCCCGGGCGCCATTGCCACCTATCTCACTGCCAAGCGCCGCCTGCCTCGCCGAAAAAACTGCCGCCGCAGTAGCTTTTTCCAGCCGTCCTCACCCGTCCCTCGCGTATACCATTGTCGGCCGCGAGATGCGAGACGTGCGCCACCTGCTGCCTCTATCGGCGCCCGTGGCTCTGCTTGCACGGGCTCAAGCCCCTCCTGCCATTGACCGCTGTGCAACGCTGATAGACACCACCGTCGCTAGCTCAGTTCAGAGAGAGAGAGATGGAGGTGAGGGAAGGGAAGGGACAAAAGAGAGAGGATGGGATCGGAAATCCTGTTTGGCGATCGATCGCCCTGGGGATGGATCAGCGATCGATCCCCTCCCCCCTCCCTCCCTCCACCCCTCCACCTGGTTTCCTTTTTTGCCACCACATTACTTTCCTATTTTAGTAAATTTATACACCTCAAGTTTACACATCTAAAGTTTAGAAACCAAAAGTTTATATATCCGATTCAAATTTGAATTTGAATTCAAATATTTTTTATATATAGTATTTCTATACATCTAAAGTTTATACACCTAAAGTTTATAGACCTAAAGTTTATAGATCTAAAGTTTATAAGTTAAAAGTTTATATATCTGATTCAAATTTGAATTTGAATTATATCCGATTCAAATTTGAATTTGAATTCAAATATCCGATTCAAATTTGAATTTGAATTCAAATATTTTTCATATATAGTATTTCTATACATCTAAAGTTTATACACCTAAAGTTTATATACCTAAAGTTTATAGACCTAAAGTTTATATACCCGATTCAAATTTGAATTTGAATTATATCTGATTCAAATTTGAATTTGAATTCAAATATTTTCTATATATAGTATTTCTATACATCTAAAGTTTATAGACCCAAAGTTTAGAAGTTAAAAGTTTACATACCCGATTCAAATTTGAATTTGAATTCAAATTTTTTTATATATAGTATTTCTATACATAAATTTTTCTAACTTCTGTTTTTTTTAAAAAAATGTGGAGATGTGTAAACTTGAGGTGCACAAACTTTAGGTGCATAAATTGACTAAAATAGGAAAGTAATGCGGTGCCAAAAAAGGAAATCAGGTGGAGGAAGGGAGGGGGAGGGGTGGGGAGCGAATCTGATCGCTACCCCATCCCCACGGCGATCGATTGCCGATTAGGCGTACCCGGATGGGATGAAGGGAAGAGATAGATGGGGAGAGTATGACATGTAGGGTCCACCGAATTTTTTTAAAAAATAATTGCTGACTAGATTTCCATGTAGGACCAAAACCACCCCGGTTTGAGGCAGGGGGTTATTTATCCGGATTTAAGAGTTTAAGGTGCTGAATGGCCGGTATTGCAGCTCAGGGGGCAATTCGATCGACCTCGATAGTTTATGGGGGTTAATTCATACTTTTTGAAAAAGGAAGTGGAACCAAATGAGAACAAGCCGCTTGGGCTGTGTTGCTTGGTCGGTGTTTGTCACGCCCAGAAATTCCCGAATAGAATTCCAAGCATAGTGTGCATTAAAATCCCTGTCCAGGACTGGCCGGGGTACACAAACGACAAAGTTGACATACAGATCCACGTCTTACATACATTATAAGAGTCTTATATAAGTGCAGCGGAAAAACAAAAGATAACTGGAGCTAAGCCTTGACTTGAACGGCAGCAGGAACACCACTCCACAGGCATCCTCGACAGCACGGACGAAGCCTACTCCTCGGAGAAACCACCATCTGACGCATACTCAAACTCTGGGGTTGGGGAAAAATAGAGCAAGACTGAGTACTACCCACTGTACTCAGCAAGTCATACCGGAATCGGGGTATGATGCAGGATATTGCCAAAGGATAGCTAGAGAGGTTCTTTTGCATAAAGCGAGCATTTATAAACAGGTGTTTAAAGCGGTAAAACAATTGTACTAATTAATCAATATTAACCATCCACTGTTCAACGCTACACCACGTTGCAACAGGCCCAACCAACCACCTGAACTAATCAGTTCCATCAGACAACACTAGGGTGAGACTAATCACGGTGAATCTGTTTGACCGCCCATAACCGCGGGCACTGCTATTCGAATAGTTTTACTCTGATCAGAGATGTACAACTGTACCCACAAGACACAGCCCCACGACACGTTTCCATGCGCCGACATGCCACCACGATATACCGGATAGAGGCCGTGACAGGACCCTTCGCATAACCCCCTCTAACCAAGCACACCACACCTCAGGTTTCACCCCCACTCCTCGCAAGGCAGCGGGTAGTCCCCTCTCGTGCCTAGGTGAATCCGGAAGCCGCATAGGCCGTCGCAGGACCCATCCAAACTCCATCACGCCCACCCTTGCCTGGATGCGTCAGCTAGAGGAAAGCTACACTACAAGCCCAGCCGTTGCCCACGCTGGCTTGTGGTAAGTACGATAAGTTCTTCCAGGGCATCCCGCGAACCGATCCTTAATTGCCATGGGCGCGACCTTCAAAACCATGCACCCACAACCCACCATGTGATTGATTTTAGTTAACCAACACCGAAGCGGTGGCACTAGTCCAGCATTAACATTAGAACCTACAGTCTATACATTAGTATGTTTTCCCCATTGTGTGCTAGTTGAATTAAGCATGGCTAAGCAATCCCTAGTCCAATCTCTAATCATGTTTATATCCCAAGTTATCAAAGGAGCATGGTACCAAAAATAGCATGGCTGTAACATTAGGTAAACATCCCGTACTATTATTGCAAAACAATGCAGTATTTGAAGGAAAACAATAGACCATTTGCAATATAGGATCAATATGTTCAAGTGACAAGCATGACTTGCCTTGCTCTGCTCCTGGAGGAACCTCGGCGACTATTTCAAAGTACACCGGAGCATCGGGAGAGCCGGAATCTAAGCGACATACAAGGCAAACAATACAAACAGGCTATAAGACTACTGAAACAGAGAACAAAACCATTATTAATGGATTCTACACATTTTTCTTGATTTACTGAGACTTGAATGGGCTTAAACGGAGCTCGGATGGATTAGATATGAATTTTAGAAGATTCACAGTGATTTTACTATAAACAGAAAAATCCTTAATTGAATTATTGCACAATAAATAAATCCCGGGGAGAGAGAGAGGTGGCGCCGACATGCGGGCCCCACATGGCGATGACACGGGTGGCAATCCGCGGTGGACCGAGTCTACGGACCGGGGAAGGGACGGCGCACGACGTGGCGCCGACGCGGCGGCCACACGGCAGCCACGTGGGCGGCCGAACGGACGGCCCCGATCTACCATCCGGTAGATCGAACGGCGGGTACGGCTCGTGGCCGGTGCGTGTGGGCATGTCTCAAGCCGGCCCGGCGGCCATGGCGCGCGGCGGCGTGGCGTGCCTGCAGCGGCGACGCGAGGCGGCGACCGGCCGGCGGCGGAGGGCGACAGCGTCACGGCGACGCGGGCGGCGGAGCAGCGGCTAAGCGGCTAAGCGGCTAAGCGGCGGGTACCGGCGCGGGAGAGAGAGAGGAAGGGGAGGAGGGACCTCACTGACGATGACCGACGACGGCGAGCGATGGAGGGCAGCGGCGTTAGCGGAACGAGCTCCGGGATCACCTAAGGAATCAAAAGGGAGGGGTTAGAGAGCGGGAGAGAGACCACGGATGGCTAGGGTGCCGGCCGAAGGCGGC